AGTAATCTCAACCTCTTCTGCTTTTTCAGTTAATTCAAATTTTGTAGGTGAAGAATAATACAAGGTAATATTAGCCAGCATTTTTGAACAATCTTTGTTAGTTGATATATGCTTAAATTTGAATTGACTTAATTTGAATTAATTAACGGTCTGTATCCCGAAACGGATTTTTACGGTAAAACAAGATTAATGCTAAATTGTAGGGAATTCGTGGGCTATTTTCAAGGGCTTTCAGAAAGCACAAAATAAAAATTCAAAATAATAGATAAGGTGTAGAAAATTTATTCTAGTCTTAATCTTGTTTTACGTTGATTCTCAAGGTATCGAGATCTCATAAAAGAAACGGGATATGAGCACGAGATATACCCTCTTTTGGAAACACAAAAACAAAAAAAAACAAAGACTTTATGTCAGCATAAAAAGGGGAATTTTCCAACTCTTGAGAAAGTGGAATTAAAAAACTAATTTTTTCCTAAACCTAATTTTGAGCCATATTATTGCAGAAATAAGTAGAATGAATTACTTCAGCCTCATTTTTTCTGGGAATGAAAAAAATGAGAAAAAATGTGCCACATTAGTTACTCTAATAGAAGCCCACCTCTTGTAGACGCCCACCTCTAATTCTAGCCCATCTGATGAGACCCAATGAAAAATACAAGTCCAGAGCTTCTATTAGAGTATTTACGGTATGTATTATATTTCCCCTAATTTAAACTCACTTTGATTAAAGAATTATAAAGCCATCCCGTCTTAACATTTTTCACACGAATTTTTGGTAATTTATTGCCTCCACTTACTAAAATACCGTGTAAACGTTGCACATTAATGTCATTCAAATTGATGCTGAGATATTCCGAAATTGTCAAATGATTCGAAACAAATTTCCAAACATTTCCAAAAGAAGCCTCGTTGGAGGATATTTTCGGTTTTTGAATGTGAAATAAAAGTTTGTCGTTGTCAAACAATAAATTAATTAATTCTGGATTAAACACAACTCCGTCAAATGAGGCATATTCAAAAACACAGTCGGAAAGTTGCTCCAACCAGTAACCAACAATAACCATTTTTTCGACATTTTTTGGAAAGATTGGCAATTTAATAATATAATAACGAGGTTCAGTGTCCAATAAATTGTACTCAGAGGTTCTCTCAATATAAACAAAAAATTTGCTGGGAGATGAAGAAACGTTTTGATAATAATATAAAAATACGGGAACGAGTCTGTTTATAATGTTCTGATACTGAAAAAAATTAAAGGTAAAATTTAGGTTCGTACAGCTCCCCTTTTTCTGATTTTGTTACTTTTTTCCAAATTTTATTTCATTCGAAAGAATTCGAATGGCTCATCTGGCCCGAATATTAATCTGGCCCGAATATTACTAAAATCAACAAAACTACTTAAATGAACAAAATCTCCCTTTTCGAGACTGCAGGCGAAAATTTTGAGAATTTCTGAAGGCCCAGTGGGAACCGAACTGAAATTTTTGGTTCGGTTCGAAACCGATACCTTACTAGGGAGTACGAACATAAATTTTACCAAAAAATTATAATATTTTTCTTTTACTTTTTCTATAAAAAAATCTGTTTGTTTTACCCGCAACGCTTTAATGAATTGAATTACCCGACATTTGGGGAGCGGACTTTTGTGGATCCGACTATTGGGGAGGAGGAGTCAAAGGTATTCCTGTTCCACTATTCCTGTCTGGCTTCCTCCGAACGTGGAAAAAATGTCGGGTCTCTAATTGTCTGATCCCCTAAGGTCTGATCCCCTGAGGTCGAGCCACGGTTACAAGAGAAGCTAAACATTTCAACTTGCGGATGAAACGACAGATTTTTAAATAGAAAAAGCAGAATTTAATTTTTACCCTCTTCTTAAAAAAGGCTGGCAGTATATATCCAACAACTTCAGGGTCAGGTTCAAGAAATTCATACGAATCAAATTTTTGAAGATTATCATTCTAAAATTCAATTTTTTAAAGAAATTTAAAGTTAATATTCCAATAGAATTGCCCCACATTTTAAATGTGTGGGAGACAGTTCATTATCGTCGATTCAGGGGACTGGCCATTAGGGCGCGAGCTTATAAAATTATGAGTTGCTTATCAAAAAAGATAAAATTTTGCAATAATAACTCTCATGCCTTTATCTACGTTCTCCAAAAATTTCAGAATTTTTGATCAAGAATTTTGGAAATTGTAGCCAAAAATGTTGATTTTCCTAAAAAACCCTAATTTTTCGCGGTTTATCGACTATAACTTCAGAAATATTCAATGAAAAATTCTGAAATTTCTGGAGGAGGTAGCCTATGATGTTAAAGAAATTTGAGAAAATTTTCATAAATTTCGGTTTCGCCTAAGTGTCAGTTTATAGTGCTGGCGCCCTAATGGCCCCGCGCCCTTATGACCCCAACCCTAGATTCTGTATTTGGGGGGCATTTTGGGCCATAACTTTCTTGGTTTTCCTTAGATTCGAGTAATTCTCATAATTCGAAAGGTCTCGAGACACAGCACCCACACATTCAGATGGGGGGCTTTCTATTAGAATAAATAGAAAAGTTAATATTTACAATTGAAAGTTTATTGAATTTCATTCGGAAGCACAATTCTTCCTCATTTTCGTTGATTAAATTGTAAAAGTAAATATTTGTTTGTTTAAAAGAAGTTAATTGATTAAAATTGAGACATTTTAAAACGTTGAGTTTTGCTTGATTTGGAAGAGAAAACATTTTTAATTGTCTAAAAAAGTAGGGAGAAAGTTTTATTGAGATAAGCTAAAAATCAGCAAAATGAGGACTATCTTGAGTAAATTTTATAAGGGTGGGGGCTAACTCGAGGAATTAGAACTCACGGAAAAGACAAGTCGCGGAATGACCAATTCACGGAATTAACAACTCACGGAATATTTTAAAAATTAGAATATTTTTAGAAATCATAGATTTTCAAAAATTTTTAAATTCTGCTTTTTTAATATTTTTATTTGTTAAAAAGTCTTATTTTTAAAAATATCCAAATTTTTCAAAAAATTCCTATTTTAAAATTATTTCGTGTTTTGGTCATTCCGTGAATTGTCCGTTCCGTTAGTTAGTCCGACACGGATAATTAATCTAAGCACATTTTGACAAGAAAAACATAAGTTTAAGTGGGTTAATGAACCGAAATCTAGACTGGTAGTGTATTTACATTGTTCATAAACCACCCCACCCCTATTTGAGTCTTGGTTTTATTTCCTTCCTTAATGTCAATCATTTATTTCCCTCAAAAATTATGAGTAAAATGCAGTTACTATGAAGGAAAAAATAGACAGGAGCGGTAAAAATCCAATCTAACGTTATAATCACTGTTTTAAGGATGAAAATTTACTTTCTGAGGCCGAAAAGAATAAAAGGAAAATCAATCTGAGACTCAAATAGGGGTGGGGGTGGTTTATGAACAGAATACCCCAGGCAGTAAGGGATCGCAATTCCTATGAAATCTTGTTGAATAAATAAAAAATAAAAAAAAAGAAAAAAATGAGAAAATGAAAAGGAATGAAAAAATAAAAGAAATGGAATGAGGAATTTTTAAAAAAAAATAAGAAAATAGGTAGAAAAATTTAGGTTGGTCATTTAAATAAACAAATAAAAGGGAGTGGCAAATAAAAGTTAAAATTTTTGATGTATTTGTAAGTAAATTCGTCCTTTTCTCATTGCCTATTTACATAAAATGAACGTCGATTTTTTAAAAAAAAGAGGCGGGCGTTCTTTCTTTCAAATAAACTAATTTTGCTTAGTAAATACAAATTTTTAAATGATAGAAGAGAGAGGGAAAAGAAAAACTCACGGAATGACAAAACACGGAATAATTTAAAAATCGGAATATTTTTAAAAAATAAGACTTTTTTGAGAAATTGGAATATTTTAAAAAACAGAATTTAAAAAAAAAGCTGAAAAATTATGATTTCTAAAAATATTATAATTTTTAGAATATTCCGTGATTTGGTAATTCCGTGAGTTGTCTGTTTCGCGACCTGTCTGTTCCGTGATTTAAAATTCCTCGAGTTAGCCCCCACCCGAGTGGTACCATTCGACTCAGTTCGCCGAGTCGAATCGAATGGTAAATTTAGAAGGGCTTTCGATCCATCCCATCGGCTAAAGTACAGCCAAAATAAAAACATAAAAATAAGAAGTTAGTAAATAATTTAAAATTAATTTTTGGGAATCTAAAACACAAATGAGAGGTAATTAAATGTTGGAAAAAGAGAATTCTTAATTTTATAGTCAATTCGTTTCAATTCATTCCCATTGCCTATTTTCTTTTAGGAAAAATTGTACATATATGAAAAAATTGGGAAAATTGTATTTAATCCTCTGATTGAATGCTAAAGGGAAACAGGAGAGACAAACTTTGAAGAGTCTACAGGAAAAACTATCTAATCTCTAAAGTACGGAATTTATTTAAAATTAGGCAAACAGCTTTGTTGTGGGAAATGAGAGTTCAGAATAATCGCTAAGATTTAGCAAAAATTTTTTTGAAAAGACTTGCCCCAGTTTTCTTCGATTTGGTGAATTAAATGGATGACAGGTGATTTGGGGGAGTGGAAGGGATATCGACGGATTTGGAAGGAATCGAGGATCTGGGTGTTTAAAAATGGATACGAAAGGATTTGAGTAATTAAGGGAGATATAGTGATTTAGAGGGATTAAAGAGGATACAAGTGGCCACTACACAAGTCTTGGAAGCAGCAACAACAAGTATTAGTCCTGTCACTAAAATTTGGCCTATCTTCTTTATAAGAAGGTCTATCTCTTTCATATTCTAATAATTTCCTGTTGGGTTTTTTGATAGCAGAACTGTTGAATTTTATGTTTATATTAGCTAAATTTAATTAATAACCTTGTCTGTTTTGTGTTAAGCTGAGAAGTATCAATCACAACTTAATTTTTTATAATTTTTTTTTATTAAAAATATTAAGGGCTAGGCTTTGAATGAGGTATCACTTGTATAATCGAATTTTTACCACACAAAAATCAGCTTACTCCCCCTATGGTTTTCGATTTTCAGGAGGCTGAAAATTCAGGGAAAATGTAACAGTAAGCCATTTTTCGATCTTTTGTAGTGATATTTTATTTACTCAATCATAAAAACATGTGTTTGAATGCCGAACCCTTACCATATTATGGTTTAAAAGGTTAATTATTCGAAATAAGCGAGAGCAAAATATAACAACAAATACCTTCCTCCACACACTCTTCCTCGCAATCTTCTTCACATTCCTCTTCAATTTTTGGCTTAATCTCAGATTTACCAAACATTTTATCTTGGTTTTCTTCTGTCAGTCCTTGCAAAACAGAAAATCTATTTGAAGTATCCACCTTTCCTGATTTTCCTAGACCGCTGGCTTTTACATTTTTCGAGCTTGTTTCTCCTTTTTTAGTGATTTTTGGATTTCCATAGAAAGGAATATTCGGGTATTTTACACCATTAGCATTTTCATACGATGCCGGAGCTAATTCCCCAACATTTGTTGCTGGTTGACTTGGAGCAACACTTGAAGGCAAATTTGCTCCTTTAAAAAATGTTTGTAATCGACAATTTAGAATAGCAACACTTAAATCCCCACCTTCAATCCCTTTAGAAACCAGACAAAGAAATAAAATAAAAAATATTTTTAACTTCATTCTGAAGAAATTTAGGCTCTTGTCCATTTTAAGCGTCCAATCGCACCTTTATACGTTTAAACAACTTTAATACGTCCAATAAAAAGTTTATGCGTTCAATCACGCATATTACCAGACCGTAGGTTTTAACACATAGAACAGGGTACTTAAAAAGTGTGATTGGATGCATAAAAGTTGATTGGACTCATAGAAATTCGTTTGGACGTATAAACTTTTCATTGTACGTATAAAGGTTGTTTGGACGTATAAAGGTGCGATTGGACGCTTAAACTGGACAAGAGCAAAATTTTAACTTAATTTAATTTAGACGTCAAGAAAATTTACTCTAAAAAAATTCTAAAAATAAAACAATGAATGATTGGGTAAAAAATAAAGTCTTTTAGACAAATTTTATTAATAAAGAATACAAAAAAGTAAATAATTTTATTAGGAAATTTTTATTGCCGGTCACAAGCTCATGAGTGTAATTTAAATTTGCACTTTACAAACCGGATATTAAAATTTGCCCTTTTTGGGTCCTTGTGATTTTCAGACAATTTCCTTTTGAAAGGACATCGCTTTCTTAAAATACCTACCTTCAATCCCTCCAACAATCAGCCAAAGAAATAAAAGGAAGGGTATTTTTAACTTCATATGGCTCAAGAAAAATTATTAAAAAAAAATTTTTTTAATGAAATTGCATGTTTAATGAAGTAAATAATCGGCTTTTAAATAAATTTTAATGAAAATAAAAAAGTAAATAATATTATGAAATTTAAATAATATGACGGTCACGTGGACATAAATGTCGGTTAAATTTGCCCTTTACAAAATAGATTTTGTAAGTTTGCCCTTTTGATTTCCTGTAATTTTGACATTTTCCCTTTAAATTTTATAGAGTGCAATACATATTAAAGTGCAAAGAAACAAATGTCTAATATAAAAAAGTAAACAAAGCTAGAAAAGGTCAAATTTAGAGATCGGACGAATCGTCTAATTTCAAATTCCTCTACTCAATTTTTACGTTTAATTTATTTAATTTTAAATTTTAAAAATATATTATATTATTTTATGGATTTATTATTTTATGAAAATTGATGGACAAAGTCTGTTTCGACTTATGGTACCCAGAAGGATGACAGGAAATGATGAAGAAATTATGATGAAAGTGGAAATGATGAAATAATGAAAAAAATGTAAGAAATTATGATAAATGAGAAGGCGCTAAATATACAAAGAACTAATGGGGAGAAGCATCGAATCGGGTTTCCGATTTTTTTAAGATTTCCGAGTTCCGAAATTTTGGAAAGATTTTTCGATTTCCGATAATTTTCATATGCTATTTCCGACTAAAGAGTTCCCCAAAATTTTGGGCAGAGGCGCTGAAATAAGAAAAAATCTGGCTCATTGGCTTTCCAAAATCCTCAAAATTTTTGCCTCTGGCGTTAATAGAGGAAGCTTTGATCTGGGCTTGATCGAGGGATTTGGGCTTGACCCAGAGAGGTAACGGTGACATGAGGGAATTTGAATATATTAATTTTGTTAAAATTAAAGTAATTCGAGGAAATATGGACTATTAAGGGGATATCACCAATTTGGATGGAACAGGAGAGATTAGATTTATATTAAAGGTCGGAATTTTGAAAAAACCGGGACCGGGAAACGGGTTCTGAAGGACGACCGGGAGGGACCCGGACCGGTAAAATAGGGAATTCCCGTTCCCGGTTTCATCCCGGTCAAAAATGACCAGGACCCGGACCGGGAAACCGGGAAATTAAAAAAATTTTAAATTCATTTAAAAATTTTAAAAAGTTATCGGAATAGTTATTTATTGAAAAATCTAATTTATAAATAGAAGAATTTAATAAATCAGTAAAATAAATCAATAAATCAAATGTAAATTCAATAAATTAAAACATAAAGCGGATTACGTAGGGCTAAAGGGATTTGAGAGGCTAAATAATAATTGTGGGATATTATACCTATATCACCTGATATATATTCAAATCCCTTCAATTGGAAGGAAATGATATCAAATGATTAAGGCAGATCTAATGGATTTAGAGGGATAATGATGGCTTAATCACCAGGTCCCTTGATAAAATCAAAATAGATATTAATTTCCCTCAACATTTCCTCCAATAATACCTCCAAATTTCTCCGTTCCAAATTCTTCCGCGAAAATTTTGAGAATTTTGGAAGGCCAAACAGCCAAATTTCTTCCGTCTTCAGCGCCGCAGGCGAAAATTTTAAGAATTTTTCTAAAATCTCCAATATTTTTAAGTCAAAAATCAAAACGTCAAGCAAAGATATCTAAAATTAGCTGTTAAAATTTTTCCCGGTCCAAAAAAGCCGGGATCGGGAACGGGTACGCAAAATGAAAATTAACCGGCCATGACCTGGACCGGGAAACCCGGGAATTCCCGATCCCGGTCTCATCCCGGCGTTTTCAAAAAAGCCGGGAAAAAGGACCGGGAAACCGGGAAACGGGACCAGGTCCCGATACCGTTCCGACCTCTAATTTATATCTAGATTTAATCTTGAATTTTACATTAAAGCTAATCTGCAAAGTCGGATCTTGTCTCTGAAGTTTCCGCAATATTTAATGATACTATGCATTTTCGGTTTATGTATGCCACTTTGGTTGTCATACTCTGGCGTTTCAAACACAAACACTTATCTTTTGATTGTTAAAGTATAAATTCGTGTATAGCGGTAGACAAACAAGATCTCTTAATTCTTTCCCAATATTTTCAATTTTTCTTTTAATTTTAATGCATGCTTTTTCAATTTCCTCTCGTCCTGGCAATAAAAGTAAAATATTCCCAGTAATAATATCACAATGAAGCGTTAATTTCGGAATACTAAACACTCTGATTGGGACAAATTACATGTCATTCGACTCAGCCTCTTTTTAGAGGTTTTGAAATCGCCTTTGGCGCATTCAATCCAGTGCGCGGAACAACTGATCCCGTTGCCGGAACAACATCCCCGTCAGCGGGGGATAGTTTTCCATTAACGGGGAAAGTTGTTCCGTCAACGGGGTATAGTGTTCCGGCAACGGGGGAAGTTGCCCGTCAACGGGGAAAGTTTTCCTCTGGAGACGAAAATTCCTAACGGAGACGAAAATTGCGGAGACGAAAATTCCGTTTATTTCCTTGGTGACGAATATTCCGCTGGAGACGAAAATTCCGAAAATGTTGGAGACGGAAGTTCCGAAAAGTCTTGGAGACGAATGTTCCAGAGACGAAAATTCCGTACACCGGCTATTCGATGTTCGCTGTTCGCGAGAAAGCTTTAAAGCAAACAAAAAATGGGCAAGTCTAAGATACGTGTGGAGAGGAACAGTAGGATGAACAAAATTTTTCTGAAAAATTTTAAGTTCATAATTATTGTAAACTTTATTGTCATTCTGTTGATTCTCGCTGAAATACATTTGGCTCCTGGCAATTGTCAGGAATTTTGCCGATAATAACTTGTGAATCTATAATTATAATTAATTATTAAGATGTCTTTTGCAAAGGAGTTTATTATTTTATTAGCTGTCAATAATCTTTTATTTTCAGATTTTATTTTCGGGATTTTGACTCTAAAATTATTAATGTAATCATCATTAATGAGAACTTAATAGCCAGCAGCCTCGGTAATTCCAGCTCTGCTAATTACCTAAATAAAAGATATCTGGTTGATCCTGCCTGAACTGATGTGTTTATTTCAAAGATTAAGCCATGCATGTATAAGTTTAATCGTTTTAACGAGAAACCGCGAACGGCTCATTACAATGGCAAGTAATTGGTAGCATTTGGAACTGCAATTGATTGCGCCCAAAAAATCCAATGATTATATGGCACGTAGTGCAGATGGTGACGAAGGCGGGTCGATATAATCGATCAAATAGTTTATTTGACCCTATCTGAAAGGGCGCTTTGATTTTTTTCATCATTTTTTTCTTACCTCAATATATAAATAATGGTCAGTCTTTTCTTCCTCGTTCAATTCCACTCTTTTTACCTGTGGCATATTCAAATAAGAGGACAGACAACTGTTACGACCCCGGTTACGTAGAGGAAGCTAACAGAAACGTTTATTGCACAAAGAAATACAAAGCAGGCGAAGGTTGGGGTATGAAGAAGAACTAAAACTGAGACTCAGAACTAACTATTGGCTGGGCTTTTATACTAATCACTTTAAGGGCTGACGCCCATACACAACACCTCCCCCCTTAAAAAAAAGGTTCGGCTTCACTTAAAGCCGAAGCTTTACAATATACTAACACTTTCCAGCCAAACAACAAACAAAAAATACATACAATAATTTTGGGGGAATAAGGACAATGGGAACAAAAAATACATACAACATTACAAAAAAAATATACAACAACAATATTATCACAAAATTTTATATATGTGGCTCATCTATGTCTCCATATTATTATCGTCTTCAACATCTTTCATATTTGGATTGTTCCCGCTTTTGTCCTTCATCTTTGACTTGATCCTCTTGGAGTTGTCCACACTGCTATCACTCGATGAAGTTACACTGCTTTCACTGGACACTTTTTCTTCACTAATATTCATATTCCGAATATCTTCACTCAACAATTTCTTTTTATTGTTCCACTCATCTCGACGGATCTCTTTAAATGTCCGGGTCACAATAATCTTCAACTCTGACACTTTGATTTTCCATGCATTTTCCGTCTTTCTCACTACTTCTCCATGAAGCCACTCGATTTTACCACTTCTTTTATTGGTATTCTTCACTTTCACTTTTGTGCCGTTCGGAAAAGCATTTTTCTGTATCTTGAATGGTGCCTTCTTTTTATTCCACTTTTGGTACTTGGGCTTTTGGTTCCGACTTGACACTTCTTTCAATCCAGGCAACCCTAAGATACACACTTCACTATGCACTAGATGGAACTCCATAAAGACGTCTTTGTCTTTCACTCTCACTTTGCTTCTGAATTTTCCTTCAATTTCAACTTTGTTGTCACCCAGCCCAACACCACTGTAATTCACTTTTTCAATTGTTGGCTGTCCAATACTTTTCCACACTTCACTGGTGACAACATTGATCTGCGATGCAGTGTCTACAATCATTTCTACACTAAGTTCTCCAAACTTCACTTTTTGCTTTATCCACTCTTCTTTTTCCACACTTTGCATTGGATCGAAGATGTCCAGAATTGCACAATATGGAGAACCTGAATGATTATTATCATTACTCCACTGCCTTTTTGGCTGATACTGATTATTCTTCAAGAACTTACAATGCATACGCCAGTGACCAAAACGTCCACAATGACTGCACTTTTTCTCAATAACATTTTGTTGATACTTGACGTTTGGTTTGGACCACTGTTTTTTGTACTCACTTCCAATTTCACTTTCACTCTTTTCACAATATTTCACTTTTTCCACTGTGTTGACTGTCGGCACTTCTTTTTTTACTTCACTAATTTTCTCCTTGACAATATACATGGCTTCACTTTTATTTGCCAAATATGCCCGACACTCTTCAATAATTTCTTTCAAGGTTACTGCCTGTCCTCTTTCACTTTTACTTTCAACACTTTTCATTGCGACTTGTCGAACTGAGGTAGCATCACTAGGCAAACCTGAAATAAAAATAAGAATTTTCAATTCTTCAATCGACAAGGCCATTTCTGCACGCTCACATTGAGCATTCACTACATTCCCAAACTCAACAATATCTTGGAGGTCACTACACTTAACATTTAAGGCCTCGAACCTTTTCAACAATTTGGACCTATGATCACTAAACTCTTTCACTAACTCACTACAGAGTTCGTCAAACTTCATTTCACTCAACTTGGTTGGCAGCATTTTCCTTTCAATTTGGGCATACTCTTCTGGCCCCAATTTACTCAACAACAATCTCACTTTAGAGGATTCTGGCAGGGTTTTACCCTCCACCTCAAAATAGGACCGATGCCTGCCCAACCATGACTCAAAGGTCATACCACTCGTCAAATCAAAAACGAACTCACCAATCATCCCAACTAATTTGCTGTACAATTCGGTGTCGTTCCACTCACTCGGCTTCAAGAGCCTCACTAACATTTTCTCAAAGTGCTCTTGCTGAGCCTTCAACAATTTCTCCACTGTTTTTGCATCCATTTTGCACTCACTAAAAAATAAACTTTTTATCACTACACTTTACACTACAATTTCACTAACCTTTTTGGTTTTACTACACTACAATTGTCCACACAGATTTTCTTTTTCTGAACTGCACACAGCTTACGTTGACGAGCACTCACTGAAGTTGACGAGACTGTTGTCGAGACCAGGTTCTTTTTGAACACGACCGCGCCAAATCTGTTACGACCCCGGTTACGTAGAGGAAGCTAACAGAAACGTTTATTGCACAAAGAAATACAAAGCAGGCGAAGGTTGGGGTATGAAGAAGAACTAAAACTGAGACTCAGAACTAACTATTGGCTGGGCTTTTATACTAATCACTTTAAGGGCTGACGCCCATACACAACAACAACATGGACGGATTCAAAGAGGAAGAAAAGACCGACCACGGACGGACACGGACAGACAAAATACGGACGGACTCGTACAGACAAACACGGACAGACACAGACAGACAAAATACGGACTGACACAGACAGACAAAACACGGACGAACACGAGGGACATGGACAGACAAAACACGGATGCACACGGTGACACAAAACACAGACAAACAAAACACTGGCGGACTCGGACAGAAAAAACTCGTGTTTTGTCTGTCAGTGTGTGTGTGCTTTGTCTGTCCTTTCATTTGAATATGCCTCAGGTGAAACAAGTGGAATCGAACGAGGAACAAGTGGAATCGAACGAGTGAAACAAGTGGAATCGAACCCTTTTTCAGATAGGGCCGTTTATTTGATTCATCTGTTTATTTGATTCATTTTATTTGACTGCTTTGATTTTACCTATCCAGGAATGATATATTCGAATGATCGGTATATCGTTTCGCTTTTGCAGATATCCGCTGCTAGAATAAATTATAATGATTTCACTTATAAGAATGAATATACTAACATGAATATACTTACTCTTGTCAATAGATATGTAATTTAGACAAAAGGGGTCAGAATAAATTTATTTACAAATTATATCTAAACACATGTTAGATTTATATTTGATTTTTCATATAAAATTTGCCTTAAAATTTGCTAAAACTGATCTCGAAAAGAAATTTTGTTATGCCAGATTAATAAATATTTATCAAAATCTAGTGAAATGTTGATTAAATATAAATAAATCCATTGTTCAAGCATTTAGAATAATGCTAACTATAGTAGGTTGGTGATGCGTTACAACTAGTGTTCGGCAAATGGATTTTCCCAATACCATTACCAGTAGTACCGAAAAATACTGGTATTGAAAAGCACCGACGAAAAATTTTCGGTAGTACCGCGGTACTTCGATACTAATGTAAAATGACAAATATCTGATAATATCATTGTTTAAGCATTTTTATTGAATGTATTTGACACAGCATTAAATCTAGGAGATGAGTATACTTCGAAACAATTAATTAGTCAAAAGTTTTGAAGGATATCGAGTTTAAAAAAGGATTAAGGAGGATATGGTGTATTTGTAAGGATAGCAGGGATTCGAGGATATCCGTGGATCAAGGATTAAGTGGGATATCAGGGGATTGGAGGATATCGATGAAACGAGGAGCGGGATATTAGGGGATATGGATAGATAACTGGATTAAACCGCGGTAGTACCGAACTGTGCCGAACACTGGTTACTACAGAAAATCATACAACTCTCGATTTATATCTACTCAATTTAACGAATCCTTCTCACTTTTGGCTTGCTATATCGAGAGTCGCCTGTATACAAAAATACATTTAGTACAATGTTGGGTGTTTTGTCTTTAATAATCTCATCATTTCAAACACTTCTTCTCCCTCATTTTGTATCATTGGTGACATTTTTCTGAACAAAAGTAAGTGTCCATTTGTTTCTGTAACCATCCCTAACACGAGTAACAACAGCTTCGGCAACTTTGTCCATCGAATTATTCGCTCCAATTGGGCAATACAATCCAAAAGTTTCATTTTTATAAAAATGTTTGGCAAAATCCTTTGAATGGACCCACAAGGGATAATTGGAATTGCAACTGATGACGTCATTTATTTTGACGCATGATGGCAAAATTTCATTGATTCCAAAGTCGGGTGCTGTTTTAATTTAAATTTTAAATGCGAAGGAACACTTTTATCGAAATTTTTTAAATAAAAATGTCGGGTCCGCAAGTGTGGTTTGCAAAAGTCGGTTAACAATATTCCAACGTCAACAAGCTTATGCTTTAGCAATATATTTGTATTTAATCGCTACCGCCTAATCTCTTGGTTTCGACTCTCGGCCGAACGGTCTCGGGGTTGATTCCCGGTCTCGGTCTCGACTCTCGGGTTTTTTAACTCACGATCATCACTAGTTGTTAGTCGCTGTCTTTATTCCTCACAATTTTCGTCGTCAAAAGCAACTTATAGTAATCCAGACTGTAATAAGATTACCTATTTTGCAGTCCAAAACGTTTCCAATATTATTTAAGATTAATCCAGGAAGAACAAGTGCCCCAACGACAACAACTCTAATCCAGCTAGGACAGCAGCAACAACAAGTGTCGGTTTGATCACTAAAATTTGGCAAATTATCTGTTGTTGCAGCTACAGTAGGTGGATTTGCTTGTAATAATTTCCTGTTGGGCTTTTTGATAGCACCACTGAATATTTTGTTAATTTTTATTTAAAAATTTAATTAATAACCTCTTCTGTTTTGTGCTAAGTTGAGTTGTATCAATCACAACTTAAAAATTTTAATTTAATTAATTAGAGATGTGCGTGTCTCTGGGTCATGGACTTGAATTTTTTAGTCTTTTCTAAACTTACACCCCTAAAAATTGGCTTCTCATATTTCTGTTTAACCACTGGGCAGGGGTTTGTTTATGGTTACCCCTAATTAACTACTTTTTTTAAATGCAGGCTCTGCTCTTACCTTCCTGAACACACTCTTCTTTACAATTTTCTTGACATTTCTTTTCAAATTTTGTCTTAGTTTCAGTTTTAGCAAACATTTTCTGCTGGGTTTCTTCTGTCAGTCCTCGCAAAACGGAAAATCTATTCGAATCATCCACTTTTCCTGCTTTTCCTAAACCGTTTTTTTCTTTTTTCGAGCTTGATTCTCCTTTTTTCGAAATTTTTGGATTTTCATAGAAAGGAATATTCGAGTATTTTACACCATTAACATTTTCATACGATGCCGGAGCGATTTCGCCAACATTTGTTGATGTTGGATGAATTGGTGCAACATTTGACGGCAAATTTGCTCCTTTTAAAAATTTAAATATAGTGGAACTCAGATTTATGTTATTCATTTTTTGACCTTTACTTTTACCCTCTAATGTTACACAAGTTACACTCATTTAACCTTTACTTTTACCCTCTAATGTTACACAAGTTACACTCATTTAACCTTTACTTTTACCCACTCCATGTTGTCCATATGTGTTATTATTAGAGGTTCCGAAAGCCTCTAATAAAGACTTTCAATCCCTTACCAACCTCCAATCTCTCCCAACTCTCCCGAATCACTCACCAATTCCATGCATTCATAATTCCTTATCAAGGATATAATACCCACCTTGAATCTCCTCAACAATCAAGTAGAGGAATAAAATAAATGTTTTTAAATTCATTCTGAAAAATATTTAAATTAAAGTTTAGTTAAGTCTCCCGATTTAATGTTACTTAGGCTCTCTTACGTTACCCTAACCCTTTTAAGAGGAAAAATTTCAATTAAATCCCTTAAAGATAAAAACTAAGAAATTGAATAAATAGAATGGGTAAGGGGAGGGAAAACCGGCTTTTATTAAGTAATTTTGAGAGGGAAATCTTACTTATGACTTTGGGAAACACAAAAAGGGAAAACAAAAAGGAAGGGGCTACGACTTTTCGTCAACGGACTTTCCGTCAATGGACTTTTCGTCAATACTTTTCGTCAATGGACGGACTTTTCATCAATAAATGATCGCTTTTAAAAAATTTAGAAAATTAATCGGCCTGTTCAAAGCCACAAATAACTAAATTATGAGCCCAATTTTGTTTAAGATTCCTTATTTCTTCAAATACTCTCGAATAACCTATGGGGCGTCACCAAGGCGCTTGTGCAAAACCCCGCGCTTCGCGCGGGGTTTTGCGGCACGCGCCTCGCGGGGAGTCAAAGGTCGCTGGGTTCTACACCAGTAACATAAACCTATTCATTTTTACCGATTTTCAACCTTGAAAAGACTACCTATCCTTCGTAGTGACACAATTGCTTATAACTGTGTTCAGGATTATCAAATAAGTCTAATTTTCAATCTGACAACACTTTTACATACATGTATCATCTTCTATTTTTCTAAAAATTAAAAAAACATCCACTCATTGACGGAAAGTCCGTTGACGAAAATTCGTGCCACCAAAAGGAAAACAAAAAGGGCATTTCTTTAATCAGAAGGGCAAAAAGGCACAAAAAAGATAGAAAAATTTAAAAAAAGGACAGGCAAAAAGGGCAAATTATCCATAGCCCCTTTGAATAAATCAAAAAGCCGATTTTTGTCATATTAAGAAATCATGCTTATTGACTTTTAATAATATTAAAAGTGCAATAAAAAAATTTTTTAAAGTGCAAATGCATTTCTTAACCTTTAAAAGAGAGTTTTTTTGATAAAAAATTATAAATAATAAGAGTGTTGGGAATGTTGGTATAAATAAAAAAAGAATTAGCAATTTTCATAACTTTGAAGAAAGTTATGGCAAAAACATTGGAAGTAATTCTACAAGGGGAGAAAAGAATCACGCGAGAATTTTTTTAAAGCTTTCCCTTTAACTTCTCTTTTGCAAAGCTCTTTGGCAGAAAAGTTGGCAGATGCGGATAAGCCGATTGTTGGAGTCAAAAAATATAGCGCATAAAGTGATTTTACTTCAATTTTTGTGTTTTTGATAAATTTTTTGGAGACATTCTAAGACTGAACTAAAGACATTCTAAGACTGAAATCCATAAAGTACCTCAATTCTTGAAGTACCTATTATTATTTATTCACGATTACATACTAAACCAGAACTTTTAGATAATATTGTTTTTGGATTTTTATTTTTTTAAATTTATCAATAAACTTTTTTTAAAATGTAAATGGACCCTTTTCTCTAATTTTTGAATTGTGTATGTAGGTGTGTGAAAAATATTATAAATAATGAGGAAAGTCATTTATAAATAAAAGAGAAAAGTTAATTTTTAACTCACTTTTTCATCACACGAACAAAAATACACACTGGATTATGTATCCTTTCAATTTTTATTCAATATTTATTATTCAATATTTATCCAATATAATTTCCTTTTTTAAAATTTCATACATGTTTTTATTTCAAAATAGATTTATTAAATTAAGTTACTGACGATTTTTTGCCTTTAGAGATTTTTACATTGTAGATGAGGTTTCTATATATTTTCGTTTGTGGCACCTGTAAGGATCGGGGGCGACAAATACTGCAATGAGGTTCATAGCAGTTGGAATAACTTTGCCGTAGAGACAAGCATTACTAGCGCCAGAAAGACCCCGTCTCATTGTCGAGTAAGAAATCGTAAAAAAGTAAATTAAATCGGGAGCAAAAAAATCAAAATTTAAAATGCAAAGAATATTAAATGGCAAAGAAGAAAAGAGAAATTATGTAAAAGGTTAAAGAGGACATGTGTTGAAAAACTAAAATGATTCCTAGATCCTAGGAATCACTGGATTCCTAGATCCTAAAACACGTATATTACAGAGGTTGCTGCATCGGATCGTGCAACGAACAGCCTTATTATAAAAAACCAGTTGAAAATAGTTTATAACTGCAGTTTATTGCCTTTAAGCTAGGTTTCAGAGGTATCGGGTTTAATTCATAAAATTTATACTATATACCGGAATTTTGTACTATTCCGTATTCCGTAACATTGTATAATAAATATATACGGTAGTACGTTCTCTAATCATAACACTAGTAAAAATTTGACAAATCTTGTTTAAAATTTATCGTAACAATTTTAAAATAAGAAAACATACCGTATTTCCTCAAATAGTACGGCCGGCCGTACTATTTTTCAACCCTCTTCCAAAGGGCCGTACTATTTGAGGGGGCCGTACTAATTGAGGGGGCCGTACTATATTTCAACCGTCCTTCGGAATTTTCTGAATAATTTTTCTGGTTATGCCACCTTGAACTAAGGCTGTGTTTATTGGAATTTTTTTGTTCTTGTGTGGAATTTTTTTTTCGTTCTTGTGATTTTTTTGTTCTTGTGTGAAATAATCTTTAACACACACTAGTGTATGCCTAAAAACTTAGACTTAATCATATGCCTAGATCCAAACTGAAATTACCAAAGACCTTAAAATGTAAGGCTGCATTTAAATATCGACTTTTGTTGTGTGTTTTATCGAGCGTCAAGTGTTAGGTTTGTGCATCCGTGGGTGAATAATTTAAAAGTTGAGAGATTAAGAAGGATTAGAGTGATTAAAGGGGTGATAGGACTAGTTTACCTTATTTTAATGAGACTAGGACACGGATTCTGATTTTGGTATCCGGATATTTACGGCGGATACAGACGGATATCCGCAGGCATTTTTACAATATCTGTACTTACAATATCTGTATTATTTCGGTTCCGGTGAAACACTAATCTGTATCCATATGTATCCGTACGACTTCAACATCAACATCATCTACGACTTCAACCTAACACATAACCTCTCGGTCACCCACTCTTATAAGGGCCATTGAAAGAAATTAAACATATTTCTTTGAATTTTTCAATTATTCCCAAGTACGAAAGAACAAATGATAGCAGTCGATGAACTTGTGTTTCAGAAAAGGGAATTTGATCTTGTGTGAAATAATCTTTAATGTCATTTACTTACTTTAATAGAGATTTTTAGAATAAGTATAGGGCGATAGTCCGGGTCCCTCCCGGTCAACCTTCAGAACCCGTTTCTCGGTTCCCGGACCCGGTTTTTTCAAAATTCTGATCTCTAACTATCTCATTTAAATAAGCATAAACATAAGCCAAACGCTACATTAAAAATTGAAAAATAAACGGAAATAAACAAAATTTAATTTAGAGGTTTTTAAACGGGGGCCGTACTATTTGAGGGGCCGTACTAATTGAGGGGGCCGTACTATTTTTCAACCCTCATCTAAAGGGCCGTACTAATAGAGGGGGCCGTACTAATTGAGGGGGCCGTACTATTTGAGGAAATACGGTAATTTAATAAAGAAAATAAAATTTAATAAAGGTTAGTTTGGAAATAAATGATTAAAGTTGCCGAAAACTGAAAGAAGATAGGCCTCCGGGGAGAAAAAAGTTCCAGTTAGGCAAGTCGGGAGCTGTATTAATTTTATTTTACAAAATCTCATTATAAGATAACCCCATTATAGTATATAACTTATTACGAGATACAAGTCGCTAGAGGATCGTCTAATAATCAGTGATGCAGAAGTTCCAAAATTCGGCCTGTTCTGGTTCTGGGGTTTGGTACTTTATTAATATCCCGCCCCCACCCCTATTTGAGTCTCAGATTATTTTTCCCTTTTTTTACTGTCAATCATTTATTCCTCTCCTTTTCTAATGCCAATCATTTTCTTCCCTCGAATATTATTAGTAAAAGGCAAGTTAGAAACTTAAGATATTTGAGGAGTACAGCCCAAAAAGGCGCGCCCAAAATGCTGTAAAAGCCCAAAAATTCTGTAATCGTTGGATAAGAGTTTTGGCAATGGGTAGACAAGAGTTCCCTTTTGGGTGTCTTATATGAGGGAAGAAAATGATTGAATTAAAAAAGGAGGAAAAATAAATGATTGGCAGGTAAAAAGCAAAATTAATCTGAGACTCAAATGGAGGGCGGGATATTAATAAAGAACCTGGGGTTCTGGAACCAGCTTTTCAAATTTTGCCGGTTCCGGTTCCAAACCGATTCCGGATCTTTACCAGTTCCACGGTTCCACTTCCGGAACCGCACCGTTTTCGGAACCCCTGCATCACTGTTTATGAGACCGACTGTTAATATACTTACAAATTTTGCAGTCCATTACGTTTCCGGAATAATTGAAGAGCAATCCTGGAAGAGTAAGTGCACCAACAACAATAACTTTAACCCAGTTAGGACAGCAACAACAACAAGTATCAGTCCTATCACTAAAATTTGGCCTATCTTCTTTATAAGAAGGTCTATCCCTTTCATATTCTAATAATTTCCTGTTGGGTTTTTTGATAGCGGATCTGTTGAATTTTATGTTTATATTAGCTAAATTTAA